GGTATGTGGTCATGGCGATGGCCGTTCTTTTTGGTTGGTCGAATGTCAAGTTGAGGTAATTATGAATAGGCGCGGTGCTGTTGGTAGCGTGCGACTCGTACAGTATTTGCGGAGCCTGCTTCCATGGCCGTATCAAGTTTTCTCCGATTGCTCTCTTTGCCCTAGCTGCTTCTGAAACCAGCCGTAGTGTAGGCGGGGTATGCCAATGGTGGTTTTTATCCCGCGTTTTATCAGTTTGGATGGCCTGGAAACAAAGGTCGTGCCTCGTGGGTGTGGTATGAGCGTCGTATGTATGGCCTGAGTTGAGCCGCTGACCTTGTACACGTGCCGCATGTGACGGCGTGGGTGTAAGTTGATTGCAGTGGCGGGTGCGAGCCCACCGATGGTTGGTGGCCACGAAGGATTGCCAGGAGTTGGTGATAAGGGTTCGTAGCGTGTTGGTGGAAGTTGTGGCTGTCGTAGTGCCACTGGTGGCGGCTATCTCACCGTACCTGCCCATGTATGGAGCGTGCCCGCGATGTAGTTGTATACTGTATGTAACTCGACATAGTTTGGTTGCTCGTTCGTGGTCGGTGGTGGAATCTGTATGTGGAATTTGTCGACGACCGGTGTAACCCATGGTGCGTGCAGAGTTGCTGCGCCCGACGTGTAGAGTGCGTCTCCATGTGATGTAAGTACGTGCGTGCACTCAGTTCGGGTCCTGGCACTACGTTTTTCTCAGAGTTGGCACTGGGCATATAAAGGTGGTATTGATCGTAGGCTCGCACTCGGTGTGTATGCCACTGTTCTCGTCTAGCGAGAATTGGTATCGCTGTGAGTGCTGCTAGTCGTCTGGTAATTGTAGTGCCACCTTGAGGTTCTTTTCGGTGCCGTCGTTGTTTCAGCGTGGCTGCCTGAGTCGTACCATGCGTACCATGTCGTGGTCGATGTCGCCGTAGAGCTTTTCCCAGGCAAGGCCGACCACGACTCGTCGCCGTAGGGCGTGGCCCTCGGTGCCGCTAGGTATGGATGGTTGCCCGTCTCGTCTGTCTTGCGCGGCGGTAGAATAAGATGTCGTACAGTCGCTATGCCCACTTGCTGCATGTGCTGTCGTGTGAGCTCATGGCCGTCCATTTGCTTGGTACGTCTTCAAGCCGGGTCTTCAGTAGTTGGAAGTCACCAGGGCTGTTCTCTGGTGGATAAACAACTGTGGTGTGGCTTTACGTGGCTGTGGGTGCCCCCCCCCGTTTTGTTGGAACCTGTATAAAGTCGTGTCCCAAGTGCAAGGACATGTAGACGAAGTTCTTGTCGAGGTTGGCATTCCTGACGTCATCTTGCTTGCTCTTTTGTGCTCGTTCCTTGAGCGTGGAAATTGTTTTTGGGTCGTAGCGGTCTGGTGTCGAAATACTTTGTCGTGGTTCGTAGGTGGGTGTCTTATGTTTGCTTTTGGGAAGCGGTGGAAGATCGTCGTTGCCGTCGTCCTCGTAGTGGTTCGTGGTTGTATGGTGGTGGATTTCAAGTATGTTTTGCGTCCACGTGGGGGTTGGTCGTCGCCTCTTTCGGAGTATGTCATGTATATTTCGAATGCCGGTACAAAAGGCGAATCGTGGTGAGTTCGACCTTTCATTTGTGTGTATTGCAAAAAATACGTCATCATGTGTAGCAGCACATGGGATACGGATGTCATTCTTCATGCCTGTGACCGCGATATGGAAGGCACCCATAAATTGTGCCAGGTAGGTCGTTACTTAAGCCGGATGTGCTGCGGCATTGTGAAGCAAAGTTGTGTTGAGAAAAGTTGTTGTGTATGCAAAATGCCAGTATTTAGCTGTATGATGATGTATCTTGTCTCGATCTCGGGCGTTGTGTTTGTCCCATTTGTGTGGTAGTTCCTTCGCGAATGCTGGAATTTCCTTCTGAATGTTGCTGTGGTGCAACAAAATTCCCTTGCGGCTTCTCCTTGAGGTATGCCTCGCAGGCTCCCGTGCAAGGTACGAAGCGGGCAATTCAGGATTTGCACCGTCGCTATGTCAATGTAGAATCAATTCGTATAATGTGTGTAGTTGTGCGCTCCTGTAGCTTCTCCCTGAGGTATACCCCTGCGGGTTCCCCCCCCTGCCCCTCCTCCTTCTCCTCCTACTCCTCCGCGCCGCGGAGAGATCATTATTGTCCATTATTGGTGGAAGTCCAATCCGTCAATAATGTCGCCGAAAAGATGATTAATTTCTACGTATCGGGGCGGTTCTACATAATGATCTAGTGGGGTTGAACGTGCATGAATCAACGTTGGTTTCGAGAGTACGAGTTGCGCGAACGTTCGTATCACGCGGCCGGTCTTGCGGGATAGGAGGCCGCGTTTACGTACGTGGTTGGGCGCTTACGTCTTGTTTCGGTTCCCTATCTGTGTAGTCGATTCGGGGATGTCGACCCTTCGCAGGCCTTTCATCCCGTCCGACCCCTCCTTGTTCTTGGTAGTTCGGTTTTGTCTTGGGTGTTGAAAAAGCTCGACCGTGCCGGGTCCCCGCTGGATGGCTGCCGAACAACCGCTTGTTGAGAGGAATGGGTCTGCGTTGTCGCAGAGTGTTGCCGCCCCGACGCTGCACGGCCTCCCTCGACGAACAACAGCAGGCATATAACTTCTCAGAGGTTTGCGCAGATTCCTTGAATCCGTCGCAGGGCATTTTCCCCTTTGAAGCTCTGGAAGTGCTACATCTGTCGAAAACGCGCCGAAGGAGACCGCTCCCGACGGGATGCATGCGAGCGTCTGTCTGCTTCGTTGCCTCGAGAGCCCGCCCTGATCCTTCGGAGCCCTGGGGAGGCAGCGGGCCTCGCACGCCGTTGTCGCCGTCCGAGGGTACCCCGCGCAAGCCGAAGTGACGACTCCAGTAGGGTCCTTCTGAGGTGCTGGCCGTGAAAGGCGCAGCCCAGAATGGAGCAGCCACACCATCCTATACACAAACTTCATCTTTCGGCATCCCGTCGCTATTGACGCACGCGGGGTCTCCCCACGGAGGAGGGTGGCGATAGCAAGCGTTGCTATGTAGCGCGTGTCCATTCATGTCTTTATCCGCGCATCCACTGCAAGCTGGTCGGGGCCGATCGATCTCACATCTGCTCACTGCGCCTGGCTCGCGTAGCTTCTGCTCGGCCTGCCTGTTTTCGTTTCGAAGCCGCGGCCCCAGGTGTCCCGACCACTTCCCTCGCCGGCGGCAGTATTTTTCGTCCCAGGTTCATGCTTGATGGTCCTGAGGCCAGATGCGGGCATTGCGGGAGCCCAAATCGAAGAAGAATTCCTGGATCGAACAGCAAACACATCGTCGGAGATCTAGGTCTGCATTGGAGGCAAGAGGGGCCCTCCTTGGCTGCCCTGATACGCCAGCTCCTGAAACGCAACGCGTGCCGTGTTCAGAACGTCCGTGTCAACACGCTGTTTCTTGGCTCAACGTGTTGGCCCTACTTTTTGGCGGACGTATCGCGCCACACGTACGTGTTCAGTCTCCGTGCTGAGCTCCGTGTCGACACGCTTGGGGTTAGGTGTTGCCTGCTGCTTGCTGGGGCAGTGAAGTCCAGCGCGGATGCCAGATATCCGCGCGGACATCCGAGAAATGATGCTGATGCAGTACTCAGCCCCCCGACGTCATGATCTGCTCATCACGTCGACCCCCAGAGGGCTCGACCCATTCCCCAGGACCTGTTCCTCATCGTGTCCAACGGCCCCTAGGCCGAAACTCGGCGGCGAGCCCAAGGGAAGTATGACGGCGCGGTGGTTCTGAGAAGGCTCGGAAGCCCCCCCGGCCTTTGAGAAGTTTTCTGAGCATTCCCCGAAGACGCAGAAAACCTTTCAGAAGGCGCGAAGGCCTCTGAGAAGTCCCGCCGCCTTCTGAGAAAGTCTTCTCCTCCTCCCTTCCGCCCTCGCTCGCCGCCGAGGGACGCCAGTCCAGGGACAGCGGCCCAGACCACGGGGGGTCCACGCGGGGAGAAGGCAAGACGACGGAGGTCAGCTGCCAGCGTTTTCCTGGATTTCTGGAACCTCCCGCGGATGGGCGCATAGCACGCTGGCGACAGGCACATGCAGGGAACATTTCCCCATCAGTGCTTGCACTGAAGGGATCCTACCGGAAATTGAAAGATTTGGCGAAAGTTTCCCGCCGATTTTGGTGGCCAGCTGGATTCCCGGGTTCCCGGTTCCGGGTTCCCGGGTTCCTGGTCATTGGTTCCGGGCCGACTTCGGTGGTTTCCGTGTTCCCGGGTTGCAGGTTCTCTGTCGATCTCCACGGATTGGGATTTCTCTTTGGTGTCATTAATATTTAGCTTGGGTAACCTACCCGAGGTCCTCAGGCCAGCCACAATTGGGGGAACTGTTGTCCTTACCCCCCTGGGGGGGCCATCGATTTTCGACCACCCCTCGCGAGAGATCGTCGATGCGATGGGTTCCCCCAGGGGGGTAAGGACCACAGCTCCCCCAGTTATGGCTGGTCGGATCCTCAGCCCCCTTCCCTCGCTGGCCCACCGAGGAAACACCGTAGTGGCCCCGCCCAGGTGTACGACTTCGAGGGCCCCCGGGTCGGCTTCGCGCTCGCCGTCCAGGGTGGCGTCGCTCCGAGGGGGCCTCTGCCTGCCGACGCTCCGCGAGAGGCACCGCCGAGGCCGGGGGTGGGGGGCGCTGGAGCGTGGCCGCTTCTTGCCTCTGATCGGCGGCGAGCGAGGGGGGGAGAGTGAGCAGGAGAAGGCCTCGGACGTTTTCGAGCCTCGAGGCTCGAGGCTCGAGGCTTCCGGGCGTTTTCGTCGGCTCTCGGTGGTTTTCCAGCCTCGGTGTGCTTGCCAGCAGTTGCGCCTCGCCGACCGCCTTCTGGGGGTGCCCAGATCGTCCGACGGCCGCCGGAGACCCGAGGTATGACCCAAGAACCAAATCCTGCGGCGCGCCCAGGGGAGGAGGGAAGAATGAGAAGGGCTTCTGAGAAGGTGGCGGGGCTTTTCCGAAACTCTTCGGGGAAGGCTTATACAGCACTTCCCCGAAGGCC